GGAAACTAATAAAAAGTCCTACATAGAGTCAGTGGGCATATCTATGCATGATATTAATGCAAAGCAATACACTTAACATACAGCTGGGACCTATGCACATTGAGCCAAGTCGGAGCAGCTCTGGCTGATAGGGAGCCCCAGGAGCCAACCTGCCAACCTGCCAACCTGGGGCTGCTCCAACCCACCTCAACGTGCTTTGGAGGGGCTGGATGGGGCATGAGGATGCTCCAATGCAGAGCTAGCCAGCAAGTAGCCCTGCACTAAAGCACCCTTGTGACAGCAGCCCCATCAGCATCTACAAATGTGCTGCTGCACATTAAAGAACGCCATTGCAGGATAGTACTTGTATTTACAAGTACTAACCTTTGGCAGAGTTAATTAGTTTCCTGCAGTCTAATACGGGTACACGTGTAGATGTTGAAACTTTACTGCGGAGTTAATTAGGTGGCTCCACAGTAAATATCTTATGTAGATGTGCCCACTATTAAGAGGCCAAGAATAATGAGCTTTTGATTATCAAATGAAATAACCCATATGTGATCACCATTTATAATATAAAAGCAAAAAGAAACAAAGCAAGCTGGAAAGTTTGTGTTAATTAAAAACAAATCAGACGTGAAAGCTTTGTTGAGTCAGTGTAAAGCTCCGTCTCAAGCTTTCATACTCCGGGATGCATATGGAACTAGTAATTACCTAGTAGCCTTATTAACTGCAAGGCAAACTGGCTATAAAGTCATAGGTGATTTCAAAACAGAACCTGGAATTCCAGAATGAAGGTTGATAATAGCTAGCTATTACATGAGGGATGGAGCCAGTATCTGTCTTACCCATGTCCATTGATGTGCTCATTAACATGGTCTTGAAGACTGATGGTATAACCTTCTATAGTTTGTGGTATCAATCACTGGGCATAAACGGCAAGTGAATAATAGGAGAAGACCAATCCATTTTTAAAAATATGGCCTTGTTGAAATGTTGCATATAATTAATAAGCATATCCTTGAATAATTACTTTGGATTACTGTGACTATTGTGGTACTTATAATTCAAATGTTAAAGATATGCAGGTGGAAATTACTTACTTTAGGAATTTATTCAAAGCCATGGCAGCCCAGCTTCTCACCAGCTTGGGGCTACATGCAGCACTGGCCATAGCACCCCTTCCCCACCAGGAGTCACCCCTGCCTCATGGGTACCCCAATTTCCCCCTGCTGCACATGTAGTACCACTCACCTGCAGTGCAGGCTGCCTAGCTCCTTTGTCATGAGCAGCCCGGCCTCTTTCTGCTGCGCAGGCACATAGTCACTGTAGTCTCTCTCATGCATGCTGCCTGGCCCCCCTGATCCCCTCCTGCTGCACTCTCTAACCCCCAGGAGCAGGGTAGGAAGTACAACCCAGAGGAGGGCAGGGGAACCCAAAGAATCTGGCTGCCACGGGTCAGGTCAGTGGTGGCCAGGTGTGAACCTGTGGGCCACATGCTAATCCTTTGGGGCTGAATGTGACCCATTGGCTGCCAGCTGGACAGCTCTGTTTTAAGCATTTTGGAATGATATTACAATGAAATCCCTGTCCTACTTCATCTCGGTCCTCCCTACCTTGCTCCGAGGGCATCCAAACCCCAAGCCTCAAGGCTTGGGCCTGCAGGTAGGATGCCCACCAAGGTTTTGGAAACATCTGAAGCCCCAGGTGTGGGCGGAGGATATTTGCCGGTAGTTCTGATGGTTCTGGACTCTTGGATTTGGAATTATAGCTTCGTAGTTTCATAGCTGGTAGGGTCGGAAGGGACCTGAGGAGATCACCTAGTCTGACCCCCTGCCATGGGCAGGAAAGGATGCTGGGGTCAAATGACCCGAGCCAGGTGGCTGTCTAGCCTCTTTTGAAGACCCCCAGGGTAGGGGCAAGCACCACTTCCCTTGCAAGTTGGTTCCAGCTCCTAGCCACCCTGACTGTGAAGTAGTGCCTCCTGATATCTAGCCTGCATCTACTGTCAGTCAACTTATGGCCATTGTTCCTTGTTACCCCCGGTAGTGCTCGGGGGAACAGGGACTCTCCCATTGTCTGCTTGTCCCCCTTGGCAAGTTTATAGAGGGCCACCAGATCCCCTGTCAGCCTTCTTTTGTAGAGGCTGAACAGGTTCAGGTCCCGTAGCCTCTGCTCGTAGGGCCTCCCCTGCTGCCCCCAGTCATGCAAGTGGCCCTCCTCTGGACCCTCTCGATGCTGTCCCTCCTGAAGTGCAGTGGTCAGAGCTGGATACAGTACTCCAATTGTGACCTGACCAGTGTCACATGGAGGGGGAGGATCACCTCCTTGGACATGCTCATGATGCATCTATGGATGCATGACTAACTGCGGTTAGCCTTCCTGACTGTGTCCCCACATTGGCGGCCCATGTTCATCTTGGAATCAATAGTGACTCCGAGATCCTTCTCTGCCTCTGTGTTGATGAGAAGGGAGTTCCCCAGCCTGTAGGTATGCTACTGGTTCTTCCTCCCCAGCTGCAACACCTTGCACTTGTCCATATTGAAACCCATCCTATTCTCATCCTCCCACCTCTGTAACCTGTTGAGATCTAGTTGTAGCCTGTCCCTCTCTTTTAGCGTACTCACTTCTCCCCACATCTTAGTGTCATCTGCCAACTTGAACAAGGTACTTTTCACCCCCTTGTCCAAATCGCTGATGAAGATATTGAACAGTGTGGGCCTGAGGACTGAGCCCTGGGGAACCCCACTGCCCACATCTCTCCAGGTTGAAAATGACCTGTCCACCATCCACCACTCTCTGGGTGCAGCCCTTCAGACAATTTGCGACCCATCTGACTGTGTAGGTGTCGACACCACAGACATCTAATTTTTTAATGAGGATGGGGTGAGAGACAGTGTCAAAGGCCTTCCTGAAGTCCAGGAAGACTACATCCACTGTGACACCTGCATCTAAGGCTTTTGTGACCTGGTCATAGAAGGCTACCAGGTTGGTCTGACAGGACCTGCCTCTAATGAACCCGTGTTGATTGCCCCTAAGCATAAACTCACTTGCTGGCCCCTTGCAGATGTGCTCCTGGATAATTTTCTCAAAGAAGACCAAGGTAAGACTAACGGGCCTATAGTTTCCTGGGTCCTCTTTCCTCCCTTTTTTGAAAATGGGGACCGCATTAGCCCTTTTCCAGTCATCGGGCACCTCACCAGAGCACCACGAGTGCTCATAAAGCTGTGCCAGGAGTCCTGCAATAACCTCTGCCAGTTCCCTAAATACTCTGGGGTGGAGATCATCAGGACCTGCTGATTTGAACACATCTAGTCCCTCCAGAAGTTCCCTGACTAGGTTCTCACTGACCTGGGGCCTGGCTGCGCCTCCCCTGGGTCCGTCCGGGATCCCAGTGAGGGCAATGTCCCTGTCCCTGTTCAGAAAAATGGAAGCAAACAATCTGTTA